CAAGCTTTCCAGCCTACACCATTGCCATCTCGGTGTAAGTAAACAATCTTTTAAACTACCGATACGCGTCCGTGCCTAATTCCAGAGCGAAGGCCTTCCCTCTCCGCCCCCGCGTGCCCGGGCTGCTGGCCACAGCCCGCGTGCAGCGCGAAAAAGGGCTCGGGGCGCTCCCGGCCCGCACAGCTTCCTGCCCTTTGGGCGGGGGGCTGGACTCGATGATCTTCCGAGGTCCCTTCCAGCCCTAATGTCTATGAAGTCTATGAAACTTCAGGTATACCAGAGTGATGAGGTTCATAGAGAAGCAACTTTGTGATGAAATTCCCTGGCCTGTGCAATACAGGAAGTCAGACAGGATGATAAATGATCCCATCTGCCCTTGCGGACAGCTGTCGGTGCTATTTGGAGCCGCTGCAGAGTTCAGCACCGTATGTGCCAGGCAGGGAGGCACAGTCCATCCTGGGGTCTGACGACACCGTAATGCATTTGTCTGTTGGAACGCCCTGTCTTGTGTGTCGACATGGCATGACACAGAGTGCACTCGAGACACCCCACCTCCCTCGCTAACTTGGGTTACTCCAGTGGCAGCAAGGACCCCCGAGCTGCATCCCTGACTCCAGTTCATGCTGCCGCCATCACACAGGGTCTCTCATGAATGCACAAGGTGTCTTATTCAAATGTTTCCCAGCATAGTCCAGTAAAGCCCAGTCTCTGACTCCTTTGGATCCATTTCTCCTGCTGACCCACTGTTGACCTGCACCCTGCTGTCGTACTTCTCAATGCACCAGAGCGGCCCTCGGGGTCTTAGCAGTGCTCAGTGTCAGTCTGAGTGTGAATTATGTATCTCTAACCTTTCTGCTAACCAAAGCAACTTGTTCTCTGACATCAATCATTTACACTTTCATGAAGTAAAAGCCGTGATGCCGGTGATATGCAGGAAACGTTGCAGGTAATCCCTGTGCAAAGAACCCAGTAATCCTAAATGGCGTGGCTCCAGATTCTGAGTTGCCTAAAAGCTTGGTGGGCAGATAAATTAAATGGATGCTGGGGGATTAGATGGACAGAATTATTTGAAAAGGCTCAAAGTCAGAGACCAATACCATAATGTCAAGAGAGAGATCGCGAAGGAAGGAGGAAGCAGGAAATCTAGTGTAACAAGACAAGATGGGAGACGGGGCAGGCTAGTCACAAGCAAGGGGGAATAAATATGTTGCTTCTGCTGCATGTTAGGACTCTGGATACAGCAATGAAAAAGTCTCCAAGGCAGGCAGATTCCCGAATGATGGAGAATCTGGTGGGGGGGAAACATTGTCAGTACCAGGCCCAACGCAGATCTCCAGTGACAAAAGAGGAAAAAATCCTAGCTGTTGTTAGCAGAGGGACAGCCTCCGGGTTTCCCATCAGGTTTTGCATTTAAACAGTTTGTGGCTGATGAATGTTTAAAGCCCATGTGCCCTTCATATGTGCTCGGTGTTATCTCTTGAAATACTTCCATCGAGCTCTAATCTATCATAATCAAAGGTTTGCAGTTCACAGCTCTGCTCCTCTGCTTCCAGGATTAGTAACCACATTTCCTTACCAGCCAGGGATTTAAACAGTAAAGTTGTCTCTTTGTACAGCACACGCCCATGATCTTGATTTATATACTCAAGATACAACATAATCCTCTTCATTTTTGTGGTTTATACAGAACATACAACTAGAATAACTGAACTGAGATGTCATCAAGTCTAATCCACACACCAGGACGTTGTTCACAGGAGTACTCTGGCCAGAAATGATCTGTTACAAGATGAGGAATGAAAGAATTCCCCAGATGGTGGATCCTTCATGTGTGCAGTGGTAGGTAGGAGATTACAAAGGGTTTTTGTATTTCTGAGAAGGAATCACTTGGGGATTAAGGGAAGCAATTTGTGTGTGGAAGATAACCTGATCACGTGTCAATAAGTCTAACCCAAGTAAGTGTACGCAAGAGCAGAATCAGGCTCTCCACACCTACTAGAAATTGTAGGTGAGCAGTAAGCATGCTGGCAGATATGCTGGATGCGATCTGCAGGAGGCACTCCTGGCAAGAGGTCAGGCCTGTGTCTACCATGAATGTTTCTAGTGCTGTCCCTCATTCTGTATGCTGAGTTACTGCTAAAGATGGCAGAGCTCCTTGGACATGAGTGGGAGTGGAGCCCAGACCAGTGTGTACAAGAACCACTGAGCAAAGAAAAACCACAAAGGAACGTGGTGAGAGCATAGTAAATTCTGCACCCTGTCTCTGGATCAGTATCCCATATTAACCTAGTCCATGGATTACGGGGATGGAAAAGTTCCCGGCCCCTGGAGAGCAGTGCTTCTCAACCTTTTTAGACTCAAGGCAGACAAGGTTCTCTGAGTAGATGGGATATCTTTTATTAAACCAACTAAATAGTTGGGAAAATTGTTCTTTGCAAGCTTTCAGGAACCAACAATGTCTTTTAACCTTAAGACACCCCTTTTTAAAGACACTCACCAAAAATCAGTGTTAGTTCAACCGCTGCCCTGCTCCTGTACAAGCCAAGATGGCCTAGGACCAGCCATGCTTGAACAGCTTTCAAGTCCAGTTGGCAAGGAGTCAAATTATTCTAAGGCAGTGGGTCTCAACCTTTTGGACTTGAGGCACCTCTCACTGGACCTGTGGCACTGCTCCATAATGTCTGTGAATTGAGTAGTATCCAATTTAAAAAATGAATATATTTATTACAGTGCTTACCTCCCAGCAGAAGGGCCAGCCTGAGCCTTTACTTCTCTTCACACCTGCTTATCTCCTTATATCTCAGGGAACCCTTGAAAAGACCCGGTGGCACCCAGGGTGCCCCACCACTGACTATCACTGCTACAGACCATACCTGGTTCATGTGCGAACTCTGCACTTTCACTGTTGACTGGTAGAGCCATGAATCTTGCTCCGCTGCTTTACCACGAGTTGATAACAAAGGAACTACACACTCGAGTTCGCAGGAGAAAGTGTAGGACTGGTTCTGCCATCACTTGCACTGGTACCACTGTGGAATAACCACGTTAAATCAGCAAAATGACAGTGGGGTAAAAAGAGACTGAGAACAGTCTAGCTGAGGGCTCAGCCCGTCTACACCGACTTCAATGCTGACCATACCTGTCATTTCAGTTTGGATTTAGATCTTGCATCCATCATTTGTTCCTGGTGCAAGCGAATCTGTTTGGAGATGGAGTTGCCAGGAAGAAAGGATGAATGTGGGAAGCTCCACTGCCACCATGCACCACTTTCAGGATGGTTGCAATCTGCCCCACTCCTTCCATAACGCCTTAGAGAGCCGTAGCAGAATTTGTCCCGCCTTGGGTCAGTGCATGTGTGTTGCAAGGAACACACCCCTTTCCCAGGGACAAGCAGGAAGGAACAAAGAGATTTTATTTCTCCTTCAGAATTAGAAATCCGGGGCCATACAGGTATCGTAGGCCAGGACTGTCTCTCAGCATCCCTGGCTGCTATCTTTCCTTCAAAGGCAACTGGAAGTCTGGGGGTGGAAAATACTCTACACTACAAATATTGTACCACACAGTGCAAACCTTAGGGCAAATGAAAGAAAAAGAGAAAGCCAAGTGATCTGGTTTAGCTGAGAAGGCAGACAGTCAAAAATCAGGTGTAATATTGGTGCTCACAAGAGGGAAATGATTCCTGGATCCTAGTGATTGTAGCACTAACCAGTGTGGCAGGGTGGCTGCGTACCTGCATTTTGTTGTTTTGTTAATTTACTTGCATTTCTGTAATTTTATCTGTTAAGAACCTTTGTGTTTAGGAGTCACAGTGAGCAGCAACTGTGTCTGAGCGCAGCTTGTCCTAAGCGGTCATACATATCTGCAGTTTTTCTTTCATTTATTTTTCTGTTCAATAAAATAGTGTGGCTGTTTAGGAGATGTTGACACCTACACCACACACGGAGCCAACATTTAAAGGGATTTTCCCTTGTACGCTTATTTAAAAAGTCTAACATAGTCTGTAGGGTCTGCAAAAACTGCTTGTTAAAGCCACTGTGAAACTAGATGAATGGCAGCTGCTGCCAAGGGAGGAACTTCCCCTGCTAACTTCACCGACAGGTGAGCCCAGCCCTGAAGTCATTATCTCTGGCTAATCTCAAACTCCAGTGCAACTTCATTGGTTACCATAGAGTCATCTGTTTCCTCAGCCCTCCAGGGAGCATACTCCACAGTCTGAATAAACCGGAACATGGTACGGTAGCGGCTATCTTGCGCAGAACAGCTACCTGCTGGTTGGAGCGTGGCTGCGTTTCTCAGTTTAGGTGAGTTCTGGGAAGTGTTGTTTTGGGAATATGTATTCTGACTTGATATTCTGCATGTACTTAGGGCTCTCTGCTCTGCAGTTTAGAACAAAAGGATTTTAAAAATGCTGTCTGGGAGTATCTGGGTCAGTAGTGTCGAGTCAGTTAAAACATAACCGGAAGTGCTTGGATTTGTTCAGTCTGCACTGGAACATTACGTTTCAGGAATGTATTATATATTACCAAATTAATCTGTTGGTTGGGGCTCCTTTAGTTATCAAGAGAAGTTGTTGGTCTGATCTACAAAATATCTATAACGCTATACCAGGTCTTGTACCAACTCCAGTTTATTCTAATGACTAACTTCTGTAGTACCAGAAATGCACAGGCTACTCCCACAACAGGCAATGAGCTTACAAAAGCAAACCTTCAGCTGCTTTACGCTTACCGTAAAGGCTGCTTGGAACAGGACTGTTAATGATAAAGAAGCCACCACAATGGGGACCTGAGCTGGCTGGGACATCTCTGCAATACCCCAGCGTCACAGTTAATAATGCTAGCAGGATACCGAGAATGATGCCTGCCAACCAGCATCATAGCACTAAGTTAAGTGAAGGCCCAGAACACTGGCTTTTTGACTTCTTCGATATTATCGTTACTGTATGTAATTATAGATTCGTAACTTTGCAACAATGGCTCATATTACAATTTCTCATTCTTAAAAGAGGCTTGTAGGTGACAACAATAAAAATGACACCAGTTGGCATTTAAGTAATGTAACAGGAACCTATGGTAACCAGTAGAACTGGCAAACAGTCCTCAATTAATATTTGTTCACATCTGTAACTGATTTCACTTAAATTGTGTTTAGTTCTCCCTGTTCTGTTTCCTGCAAATATAGCAAACAAGTTAACAAGCAGAGATGGTGATGAATGTTTAGAAAGCTAGTTTTGGATTAACAAATACAAGTATTTGCACTAGAAACCCGAGACTGGATTAATATAATTCTGTCAGGCACGGAATATACCGCTTGACCCAGTTGTGCAGCTGAAACTAACTCGGCTCCAGTACTGGATACCGAGTCCTTGTGAAGAGCTTCTCACGCACCTTCTATACGCTATTATTCATTGAAATGATTTGTCAAATAAGTTCAAGCAAGACTAAGAAAACTGTAATGGTCTCCCAGGCCAATAGGCACCAGCTGATGAATAAATTACTTGTTGTGACCACTCAGTCTGCCCTAGCCGGGGAACGGTGCTGACAAGCATCACAACTCTTCTACTGCAGCACAGGTTTAGTTACAACTAGAATGAGCAGCGGCATAACAGATAATTGTACATCTACCAGAAGTGTCTAAAGGCTGATACGCTCATAGACTGACGCTAATTTAACTAAATCATTTTCAAGTCGCAACTTTATTGTTTCGGTGCAAATCTGAACTTAGACTGGCCCTAGGGAAAATAATTTGTGAAGAAACTTTAGTTCTGAAATCCAAGCTAAAAAATGGGTATGTCAAGAGCTTCAGGAGGTATGAGCATGTCCTGGCAAATCAGCATCTGTGAGGACGATCAATATTTTTATAAAATAAACCGGTTACTGTAAATAATATGCCTGATTGTCAGCTGCAGTTGAGGAGAACTTGACAATGGCAAGAAGGCCAGGCACAAATCTGCAGCACCCACTGCCCTTCACTTTCTTCGGTCTAAGAGCATGTCTACACAGGAATTACCAAATTAACTAAAGAGGCAAAACTCACCGGTTAAAGTACATTAAGCTCCTGTGGTTGCTCTCGTTCACATGTAAACATGTCTTTATTTGCTTCAATTAGCTTAATCAAAGGAACCCAAGCTACTTTACTTCTGAATGTGAGTGTCTCTATTGGGGCTTCATATGCTTTAAATTCTCACCTCTAGTTAATTTGTGTTTAACTTTTCTGAGCATCACAGTGTATGTATACCGAACCCCAGCTGCCTCCACAGCCCTTCTGTGAAACACCTGTAGGAACTAGGCCAGAACTACCACACTGAGCTGTGCAGTTTATCTTCATGCTTTGTTTATGTATTGCACACAGCAGGCTCAGTCCCCAGCTGGACAGGAGGAGAGAGAACCTGCGATGGGCAGAACACAGCTTCTGTATTTTGGGCTCCTTTTGACTTGTCTCACAGTGGTGATGTTTTCTGGTCAGGCTACAAATCATCCTCCCCCAGAGAATGACACCATGCAAGCAGAGACCCTCCATGAAAGTGAACATACAGTCTTTTCCAGAAGCAATGAAACAGCCACCACTACAGATAAAAGAGTTCATAGAACCACACCGCAGACAGCAAGAACAAGCTGGGATACTGCTGTGACCGCAATCACTAGTGTATCTACTTTAAGACCTTCCTCACACTTTGCACAAAGCTTCCCTTATCCCACTAATGCAGACATCACCGGACTGTCAGATACTACTGCCAGATCTAGTTCTGTCACAGCACTGTCATCTACACTCGTGCCATTTAAGAACTTTACAAAGCATACAACCAGTGGAGAGTCTAATCCCATAACATCGGCAACAGCACTGAAACCAGAAGCTCTGCATCCTGCAGCTGATTCTCAAAATGTCAGTGAAGCTTTGGATGCAGTTCCTACAACCCAGGTTTCAAGTAAGTATTATTTGATTTTTTTTTTTAAAGCAATATCTCCCTACTTGCAGCACCTGACTCGAGTAAAGGACAGAGTATAGGAGATAAGGCACAAAACACAGCAAGTGTCTCCCTGCAACCATGCCAAGACTTAGACAGTGTCCTGAAAGATGCTCACCTTCCCCACCAGATCTGCAGGTCCTGGGAACAGCCCATCAACTCGCATTCCTCTTGTCTGCTCCCTCGGCACTCAGCTCAGATGTAATAGACTCCATTGGACTCCTCAGTCAGCCTATAACATGTTGTTGAATAGAAGATGATGGAGGTGAGGACAAGAGGGGGAGTCTTCCTGGAAGGCAAAGAAAACTGTGTATGAAACAGAAAGCAAAAGTTTTAAAATGACATAAAAAATAAAACAAGAGAAGGAAGCAGGGACAGAAACAGACCAGTAGATTAGGCTACAAATGAAAAGGCAGACCTAGGCAGAAAGAATGACTGGAGATCTACGCTGGCAATATAGTGAAGGCAGATAAATATGTCAGCCAAAATTGTTCAAATATCAGTGCCAGATTTAGGTAAATACGGTAAATCTGTTTTTGACCCTCGAGTCAAAGTGACCTGACTACCACAGGGGCTGGCCCGCCTCAGCTCCTATTTCCTATAAAAGCAACAGACCTGGCCCTCAACCCTGCTGAAAATCATCTATGGCTTTAATGGTCTACATTTACACACCCGGGTTTTATACATGTTGACCATATGTTGGATATTCGACCTGTAAACCTGGCAAGCTCAAACCCAAACTGAAACACCACTTACAAGTAAACAACAATTGTAGTAACAGAATGATCAGACTCTGGTAGAAGATTTTAATTATTTGAACAGTGGTTTGGGTGTTTTGTTGCTGAGCTGTCCTTTAATATAAAGGTAATTAGGGCCCTCATTTTAAAACATTTTTTTTTCAATGGAGAAATTAGATTCTTGGTCTGTCCTTACAGTTAGCTCACGAACACCTTCCGTGCTGCTTTAATGAAATGGAAAGACTGAGCTTTGTTTTTGTTATGAAATTAAGGAAAATTTTCTAAATTTTATTTTAGCAGAAGGATTTCATCTAAAGAATTCAGAGGACATTCTCAGCATTGGTTTCAGCAGCATTTTTCTATTTGCTGTTCTTGTCATTATCATGCATAGCTTTCTTAAGTACAGGAAGAGAAAAGCGCAGTATTCCCACCGTCCACTGCATGACATCTCTTCTGAAACAGGTTTGTATAAAATGCAAACATACATGTTCAGACCTACACACCGAGAACTAGGCGTAGTAACAGAATCACTTCCTTCAGTATAGAAATGCACCAAACTTAGTGGAAGAATCTACAGCATACGTAAACACTACATGACAATTTAGGGGCTGCATCTTCTGCCACAGTAAAGCAGTGTAGCAGCTAGGCTGATTTACATCTGTGCTGTAACCCTGTAGGCAGGAATCACGATCGCATGTCTTCTTTCATCATTAAAACTGTAGTGGACAATTAGAAAGACAAGTTTTTGGAACGGGAACAATTTGATCAGTAACTTGTATGGGGCTTGTTATTGTCCTTACGTATTATAATGAAACTATGTTGAATGAACAGTAGTAAACATCTCTAAATATCTGAGTCAGATTTTTCAAAGGTAGCTTGGTACCTAACTTGCTGAGGTGCTTTTGAAAATTGAAAGTTTCCACAAAGCAGTGCTAATATTTTACATTTATTATAGTCCTTTGTTTTGGATTACTGAAAGGGTGTGTGGACGGCAATTCATGACACAAAACGATTACGGTGATGCATCTGAATGATCTTTTATCCTGCCTTGAATGAGAAAATGTCCTCTTTTAATACATGCAAAAATGTTCAGGGAAATTTTACAATTGCTGTCGCCCTCTTTTTAAATGGCATTCACCCATAAGAATTTGGCACGCTTTCACTGCTCCATGGAACTACTCCTGGTACGTGTGTTATTTTATAAAAAATATGTTTGTTAGAAATAGAAAATGTGTACTACCTGAAGAACACACAGATGATAAAATAATGAATTCATTCGTTTTTCATTTGCATTCTACGCCATCTAGATTAGTGCCTGGAATACAATGTTGTTTGTATTTTAATTTTGACTTTAATAGATGCATGTAGTCCACAGAAGTACACATGCATAGGATAAATACCTCTTTGCATAGTGAAGATTTTAGCCTTTTGATTTACTACAAATCTCCCGATAATAATGTTAAATAATACTTCTGACATTTTGCAGGTGACACATACACCACTCCAGATGACACACTGGTGATATCAGGAGGATTGTATGATGCACCAAGAATTTACAACCCCAACGTGACACCTTTGGACAATGATGAGGTTCAAGCTGATTATTTACCTTTTGGTTCCAGATCTGGGCAGTTCAAACTTGAATTTTCACTTGATGAAAAAGACCTTTCCTATAACTTTGAAACTTTTCAGTCACTACCACAAGACTCACAATGTAGTGACATGGTGCCTAATACACAGCACAGATTCTCAGATTATAATTTAAACCCTCTAATAGCATTGTAACGTGTTATCATGGCTTCAGTTTCATGCCCAATATTTCTATCAATATAACGCTACTTGCACATATTCTGTTATGTAAGAGATGCTCTGTCTATCTTGAGGATGGCATGAGTTTCTCATGTGAAGTCTTACTTGCAACAGGAAATGAAGGCAAGTAACTCTGCAGGCAAGCGCTCTGATTCCTGGTATTACAGGTGATACAACAGAAACATGAATGAATAGGGTGGGATAGGCATGGATTTTAATTCTTAACCTCAGTGAAGCAAAAGTATGAAATGTATTGCACTTTTAACTGGGGTATATATGAAATGATCAGCAATTATATTCAATTCCGTACCTAGGATATTGATTAAGGCTAAAGCTTCCAAATACCCAAGTTTGGCTATTGCTTTGGTTGAAAATGTTAACAGCAGAGGCGCTCAAAACTAGGAGCTGGCTGTCTTGGAATGCAGCAGCAAGCAACAAGACGCTTGGACCCATAAATGAAATCCTGGCTCAGTTGGAGTCAGTAATGGGTGAACTCCCATCAGCCTGCTGATGTTCCCTTTCTCTTGAAAACCTGTATCAGTTGCAATACCAGAGTTGACTGAAGGATAGGAATTGATTTTTTGAGCGACAGCTGATGTACGCTATTCTAAAATAAGATCTAATGTTTTGGGGAAAGGTTAAACAGACCTGTGCAAATAATCTCTGGGAAGGCACTGTTCCTTGGAATCCAGAGAAGTTTAAGTAGTTCTGTGCTTTGCCTTTTAATATATCTGTTCAAAACACATGCTGTAAACTAGACTAAAACACAACATGCTGGGTCTGTCTACATGTCGCCATATGGTGACACTGCTACAGCGCCATGCTTTAGGACTTCCTTTTGGTGGTACTAAAGCACGGAGCACTATGGGCGATTTACTGAGCCACACAGACGGTGCATGCTTAGATTTCCCAGCTTGATCACCGTAGCGGCGCGCTATACCCAAGGACTCTTTTTCTGTGCACCATCCAGTCGCTCAGAAACTGGGAACCCGTTACATTCTATT